TGGCCTCGGCGCGGCCCGACGGCTGAAGCGGCATCGGGCCCAGCCTTGGCACTCACCGCCGTTTCTCCTCGTCGAAGCTGAGAACGAGTCGCGGCCGCCGGTCGTTGCCATCTCGCTTCTTCTTCTTGTTGCGACCCATAACGCACCAAGCTCCGGCGGCGCCGCAGCCCCCGCCGAATCCACTTCCGGTGTAGCGTTTTCAGCCTTCCGGGAGCATCCTGCCGTTGTGCTCCACAGTTCCGCTCGCCAGGCCCCGCCTTTTAAAGGAGCTGCCCAGGCAGGCTGTCGGCCCGCGCTCCTCTGGTGCAGCGCAGATCCCTGTCCCCTCGCGACCAGACCACCCTAGCGTCCCCAGGTTGCAGCGCCTGGCACGGTGCCTGGCGCACAGTAGGCGCTAATAAGAAACCATTGACGCGTGGCCAGAGCTGTTGAGCCTTACATTCGGATGTCAGCTCGGCGTTTCCAAGAGCGCGTTTCTGAAGCCAGAATAGGGTCTTGGCCCCCACCTACTGCAGGGTGCCTGGGCCGTTTGCCTTCTCTGTGCCTCAGTGAAGCCACGTTAAAGTGGGGATACTTAGAGTGACTTTGTAGCCGTGTGGTGAAGCAGTGGTTTTCATACTTTGAAGTGCATCAGAACCTGAAACCCAGATCTCTAAACCGTCCCTCCCTTCCCAGCCTCCAGTTTCTGATTCAACAAGTCTGAAATGAGCCCCAGATTTTGCATTTCTAACAAGTTCTCAGGTGGTGCTGTTGTGGCTGATCCCGGACCAAACTTTGAGAGGAAGGAGTTATGGAAAGTGTGCACCACTTACGACATGCCACGCGTGTGTGCGACACCAGCTATCTCTGTGTCCCCAAGTGTGGAACGGGGTATAATACCACGTCCCTATTGAGAAGTGGAGACATGCGTCACAACCGTGATGAAAGAGATTTGGGTGACCAGGTGATTAGCCGGAAGCCCTCCCTCTCAACACACCGTGCAGGGTGCAAGCTGTTCCACTTGTCCTTAAGGCAAGGTCCTTAAGGCGGGTCCTTTTATCCCACTGAGACGGAGTGTGGTGAACCCCTTCTCCCAAATAGGGGCAGGCGGGTCCAGCAGGGTCCATGGGCATTACAATCCAGGGGAAGACACCAGACAAGACACGGAGGCTGCAGGAGCCGGGCGTGGAGGGCTTCCTGGAGGAGGGGACCACAGACCTGCCCCAGGGTGGGGACACCAGCCGAGTAAGAGCCTGTTAGGATGCAACCCTCTCATTGACAAGTGACGGGAGCCCAGAGAGTAGCCTCACGTGCGTGCCTAGTGTGTGCCACGTCCAGAGAAAAGGGGTTGTTATCTCAGAGACAGCAAGCGATTTGTCCAGGGTTCCAGGCTACTCTCTGGTCAAGCTGGACTTGAACCTGAGTTTCCTAGTCAGTCTCCCTGGGCTGCTGACCCTGAGGGGTCTCTTCCTCGGTAGCTAGCAGGCCCTGCTCTGGGCTGTGACCTTGAGTTGTAAAAGAGGCAACATTATGCAGGGAAGTTGCGTTTGTACCCCAGGGATTTGGTGTGGGCGCTAAACGCTTCACCCACAAACCCAGAAAGCAGGTCGTTGGGGCTTGGCTGTGATGAGCAACTGATCGTCCGCCCCCTAGTGGCCATGCTTAGCACCCTCCTTCAGGGAGGAGTCCGGCCATCCTGCCCGCGGAAGATAGGGCGAGTCCCTGAGGCTGCTTTCCACCGCACGGTCCAAGGCACCAGGTCTTGCTGCTGCCACTTGCTGCTGACCAGGCTTTCATGAAAAGTGTGGACACCAGGCTTGCCAAGTCATCAACTCGTCTTTCACACACCAGATTCCTAAGGCTAAAAACATCCATCGGGCCCTCCCTGGTGGCTCAGCAGGTTAAATTTAGCACAGCCACAGCGCTGAGAAGCTAAAGCCACTTCAGTGCGAGTTCGATCTCCTCCCCGGAGGTGACTCACAGGTCTTGTGACTGCACGCTGCTCCCCTCATCAGCGTACTTCGTTGATCTGCCTGTTCTGCTCCCCACTCTGACTCTGGTGAATCCTCTCACTGCCCCTGCGCCTCTGGCCTGTACCCCAGTTCTGTATGCAGACATAAATAAATCTCGGAATTAGTATTACTGTTGCATAGATTTCATGTTGCATCTATCCCTGGCCACATGCTTTCCTTCTGTTTCTTCTGGGATGTCCTCCTCTTCTGTGCAATCCCTTCTGGTTTAGGAACTGTTTGATCTTTTCACCGACAGGCCTCACGATGTGTCCAGGTGATCCAGGGAGGGGTTCCTGTGGTCAGGGGTTCTGGAAGTTCCCCACGCTCCTTGGGGGCTTTGTCCACCTGAGGTGCCCCATGGCCAGAGGATCTATCTGCACCTAAGCCTTTCCGGCCAGCATTCCCCTCTGCAACTCAGCTGTGTGTTAAGTCCAGCATTTTTTTTTATTTCCCTGCCCCTTTGTCCAGCCCCACTCTTTGGTCTGGGCACACCCAGTTTTGAAGAATTGAAGCTCTCAATTTGCATGATTTTGTTAGGTCAAGTGAATAGCGAGCCAGCCTCAGAGGTCACCCAAGACCACTTACAGAAGAACTGAAATTTCTTTTATATTTACGAGCACCCAGAGGGTGCCATGCACAGCAAAAGATGATATGTTCTTGGGCCACCCTGGTGACACAAGAGGTTCAGTGTAAGCCTCAGTGTAACAGGTACAGGTGTCATGGACTCCGCCCCCACTCCAGATACTGGAACTACTAATCCCATCAATACCGAGGAGAAGCGGCTGGGATGTGGGCAGCCAGGTTGGGATAAAGCCGGACACGTGGGCTCTGGGGGTCTCCTGGCCTGGTGGTTCGCAGCTGATCGTTTGGGCGCTCCATCGGTTTTCACGTGCCGGTGGCGTCCAAGTCAGCAGAACTGGTAGGACATCCTAGGTAACCTGTGTTTCTTTCCCTTTTTCCCTGGGTTATTCCTTTCCCTTTCTCCTTGTAAATAAATCCATTATTGAAACTTTTTGTGTGTGACCATAATACGATTGAATCTTAAGCGCGTGGTGAAAACCCACAGACGGGCAACCCCATTCACATTGGGGTGCCCTAGAACATCAGCACTGTGAAGCTGTCGGCAGCCACTGTAGCATGAGTTCAATCCCTGCCAGGGAGTGACCCACAGGCCGCAGCAGACTTCTCCTGTCTCCCGGCTGCTCCCCTCAGCAGCGGATTTCAGTCCATCTGCCTGTTCTGCTCCCCACTCTGTCTCTGGTGAAGCCTCTTACCCCCACACCTCTGGCTTGCACCCCAGCTCTTGTATGCATAAAAAAAATCTTTAAAAAATTAAAAGAGGGGTAGGAAACCAATCTACTTTTTTTTTTTAAAGATTTATTTATTCATACAGAACTGGGGTACAGGCCAGAGATGTGGAGGGTGAGAGGATTCACCAGAGACAGAGTGGGGAGCAGAACAGGCAGATTAATGAAGTACACTGCTGAGGGGAGCAGCGGGCGGGTCAGGAGAGGTCTGCCTCGCCATGTGGATCTCCTCCAGGGCAGGCGGGAATCGAACTCATGCGGAAGTGGCTTAAGTTTCTTAGTGCTGTGCTTTAGCCCGCTGCGCCACCAGGGAGGGCCCCCCAATCTACTTTTTAAAAAGATTTATTTGTTTATGCAATCAAGAACTGGGGTACAGGCCAGAGGTGCAGGGACACAAGCTATGCAATTTCTATTGACAGACAGATTCCGGATAGAAAAGGAAAAGCTCTGAAAAATCAGAATTTCCACGCCAGTTCATGTTATGACCTCCCTTTTTTTTATAATCAAAATATTCTGAGCAGCCATCAGTTTTCAAGTGGATTGCCTCAGCCGCATAAGGCGCTGCCTGGCCCAGACAAGCAAGCATTGCACCAGGCCGGGGAATTCCTCTGCAAGTCAAAAGTGATTTTACAACTGGCTGATTGATAAAAGCAATTGGCTGTTACAGCAACGTCAATTTTGAGGCAGCACTAGAACTTACTCTTCTACTGCCCGGATGGACGAGAACCCAAATCTCAGCACTCTACTATCCCACCTGGCCTTCTATTCAGTTTCTAAAGAACCACTCAAACTTCCTGCTATCTGGTCTTTAGATAAGGAAATTCACAGGAGTCTTCTATTCAGTGCTAATTAGGTTTTCTACTGTCTAGACTTCTAGGAAATTCACTTATGCTTTCTAATTAGTCTTCAAAGAACTTTACTGTATCTCCTTTTGTGATTGGATATACAAGAAAATTTCCCCTTCCTGCCCTCACTTTACCTCCTAAGATGTCTCCATGACAATGAAAGCCATTAAGTAGTAGATAAGGTTTAAGGGACTTTATTTTGGTTAATCTTCACTGTGGTAAATATAGTAATATTAGTCTTAAATTTTGTGAGTTTACGTATCTTTTTTAACCTTGATAGATTGATTTTTAAAATAATGTTATAATCTCAACTAAAGGTCAATATGACCCCAGACTATTAGAAAAAAGGTGATTGTGATCGCAGCCCAATTCATATGCTAATGTCATTCCCCTGCCTGCTTGAAAAGTATAAAATAAACTTCTGCTGAGACCAGAGCAGGAAGACTTGCACCCAACTCTGATTCCCTGTCTTCCTCGCACCTGCTCCCCTTTCCCCCTTTTTTTAGGAATCTCCACTTACCGATACAGCTCCCACCTTAAGACCCTGTCTGTTCTGCTCCCCAACAACCTGTGATCTGGGTCAGTCTCCCATAGTGCAGGGGTTGCGAGGCTTCACCAGAGACAGTGGGGAGCAGAACAGGCAGCTCTACTGAAATCCACTGCAGAAGAGTGGGCGGGTCAGGAGAGGTCTGCTGTGCCCTGTGGGTCAGCTCCCTGGCCTGAGAGCGAACTCGCGCTGCAGGGCTGCGGATAGCTTCATAGTGCTGCGCTTTAACCCGTTGCGCCATCAGGGAGGGCCTTTACCTGCGTTTGTATACATGCCCTCAGTTCTCACAACCCCATAGGGTGGGGTCTCCGAGAGGTGGGGTGACTGGTCCAAGGTGCACAGTGATGGGGCTGGGGTGAACACAGCTCTGTCCGCCTGAGTCGTTGCCTTCCTCCCATCCAGGATCTTTCTCCTTACCTTCCCCCACTTTTTTTCTGCTTGGTTTTGATACCAGTCCTGGTGCCCTGGGGGTGTTCCGCCAGCTTAGGGAACC